AGAAGCCGTGTTAATTGTAACATTTCAGTAGTAAGTACATATTTTTGTCGAGAGTCCATTTCAAAAGTAACTCGGGGAGGGAGAGGGGTCTGCGAGGTAATTGAGAATTACCACGCAGACCCCTTTGAATCACGTAAAATTTCCGTGATTCAAAGGGGTCTGCGTGGTAATTCTCAAGTACCTCAGTGATTTACTACGAAAAAGTTCAAAAAATATGAAATCGCACGTTTTTTAACGGATATTTTGTCTTCCGAATGAATCCACCAATACGAAAGGATGTTAAGCAGACGACGAGTCCCAGATTGGGCCCATTCATTGCGCGCGCTTCAACTGCGGCTTTCTGAAGAGAAAATCTTGATTCAGGAAAAGTCAAGAGGATTCTGGAAGGGTTTGTGCGGAATTGCTGGGAGGAATACACTATTCAACAAAAAAAAAATGCAGCCTTCAGCGTCAAATTCGTAAACATATAAGGGTTAAGGTTGAGACTCGCCAGTTTCACACTTATTGGAAGAAAAAAGCTCGTGAATTCCGAGTTCGCACTCATTTTTGCACAGAATTGCCCATAAAAGTAGTTATAGTGGTTGAAAGAAAGTCAATACAGCGAAAAAGTACCTTTAGGCGGTACTCGGAGAAAAATCCTCAAGATAGCCATTTTCTAAATACTGAACATGTTGAGGGTTCACTTCATTAAGCAAACCCTCTTGCTCATGATGACGTTTTAACTTTTCAGAATGGATGAGGATGAGGAGTTATGGCTTTGGAATCTAAAAACTCGCGCTCATCATTAATTTTCCTCGTTAGTATTGCAGAAAACTTCGACTTAGCCATTTTTTAAATACTGAACATGTTGAGCTGGTTCAGTGACCGTTTGATAAAGCAAATCCTCTAGTTTATGATGAAGTTTTAACTTTTCAGAATGGATGAGGTTCAACGGAGTTATGGCCAATGGACCGAAAAGTCTTTGTTTCCCGCCGCAGGGCAAACACCTAAGACGACGGCTACAGAAATTGTGATAGTTTTCTGGGGCGCATGTTGCTCCAAGGGCGGGAGGGGGGCACCCCGTATCGCTGCGTCAGATTCACCGAAGCACAGTTTTAAGAATAAACCTCAGAGGAGAAGAGGATTGTGAGGTGCGTAAGCAGTTCACATTGTCCGGTGTAACGTTTTCTGCCAACGAAGTGGTTAGCTGATTGTATTAGGCGTTTCAAAAAGTTCTGTCGTTTCCTGACACTCCACTTTTGAATGCTTTATTTTTCTTGAAGTTTAGGAAACTGCAATTAGTATGGGTATCGTATTAAAGAGATCTTCCTGCTCTATCAAAAGCTCAGTTCAGTTTTGTCCTGAACCATTTTTTATAGCTTTTTCAAAGGTTTGAATGCGGAATACTCGATGAGCAAGTTGGCATGACTTTCTCTTTTTATAGCTTTGAATAGACTTAAAAGTAGCGAGAACAGTTCAAGATACCAACGATGCACTTGGCCTAGATTCGCAAATATGTGCTCAGAGGCAGTAGTTCAAAAAGCTACTGTACCGAAAGCGAGAGCTTTGGGTATGATGACAGTGGTCGTCAAGATAGCGGACGTGTTCACCCACTAACCAAAAGTTCAGATTGAGCGACATCTTGCTTTAAGACCATAGAGGAGGTTTTGCCCAACTCGGGCGTGTATAGTCTGTGAAGAAGCTATGCGGAAGTAGCTAGAAAGTTCAAAAAATTTGATGAGAGCGTGCCGCGACATGTGACCAATCTGAAGGGTCGTCCATCAAATTGTCGCTTGTTTAATGTGATAAAAGTGACCCGTTTTTCTACAGATTTGCGACGTGCAATGAAGAACTGATTCTTGTTTACAGCCCTCAAGGCTTTGCTGAATAGATCGACGGCGATCAAGCTCTACAAACTGTGCAAAACTTAAAATGTGCTGAAGGAGAGTGATAGCAACTTTCATGAGGCCAGCGGCTGGCCATGTTCTTCCGTATAATCTGAAACTGTTGCAGTGGAAGAGTAGCCTTAGGCTGATGTCAGAGTCCGCGATCCGTCGCAGCTTTCGCTGATTTTCGCGATTTTTGCGATTTGCGCGATTTTTGCGGTTTTTTGCGATTTGCGCAATTTTCGCGATTTTTGCGAAACCTACGACAGATCACAGAAGTACACAAGGCATACCACACACAAGGCGCCGGCGAACTGTGGAACATTTTCAAATATTCCGCACATTTCGCGGGCGCTACCGGCTCGGCCATGCTCGCCGCGGCGCCCATGAAACGTGAAAAAAAGTAGGGGGGAGGGGTGATAGGGGCACTTTCGAGTCGTCTAACAAGTTGCAGGCTTCGCGCGGATCACAAAAATTGCAAGCGCCTTATTTGAACAATTGAAACACTGAATATGAAACAAGTGGAATCATGAGCTGTTTTCATTAAACCATAACCATGAAGCAGAAGTGACGGCAGGATTGGAAAACACCTTGCTTTATTGATGGGGCACTTGAGATTTCCGTGACCCGTCGCGCAAATCGCGAAAATCGCGCAAATCGCGAAAGTTGCGCGACGGATCGCGGACTCTGACATCAGCCTTAACGTTACGTCAAAATTCATCAAAAACACTAAGACATGGGTCCAGCACTCCCCATTGTAAAGGGACGGACACATCCCTGGTACCTTGGAGGCACATCGCACCGCCAACCCAGCGCAACTTGGACCAGCTGAACTACGAAGTGATGCTGCAAACATCATACAGGAGACCTCTGTTCTATCAACTGTTACATTTCTGACGATCTCGATAGCTCCCTTGAAGAGAAATGCATCAAAACTCAAAATGATACTAAAACGACCTTCCCTAAGTTCATCGCCTCCAGAGCTACGCATTCTGAACAAACATACCCATGAAAATGGTTTCCTGTAGAGAAAGGTTTGCGCATTCGAACGTTTTTTTATTCATCTCGAAATGAGTTTAGGCCGAGATACATACATTAGAAGTTGGGGCCGTAAAACGATAGATTCTTCTGAAACGCCTAATAGTTGTGCTCTGTAATTTGTCACCCACAAATACAGGCGCAATGTGGCTTGGGGGGGGGCAATCGCCGTCGCGGCTCAGCGAAGTTGTGTAAACTCGAACATCCCAGCCTTTCACTCATGGTAAGTGACTGCCCTCACTCCCCCCCGCCCGACTTCATTCCCCCTGGCTCCGAATTTTCGTAGCCTGTCATACACGCCGCGGCAGCGACTGCCCTCCTCTCCCCCCGAGCCACATTGCGCCCAAAAAAACAAAGTATTACAGCATTTCGCACACTACGAAATTTACGAAATTGATTGCAATGTTTACGAAATTGCTTGCAAAACGAAATGGGCGTTACAATGACGAAATTGGTTGCACCATTTACGAAATGGGCTGGAACATATACGAAATGGGATGCAACGTTTACGAAATGGGATGCAAAGTTTACGAAAATATCTGCTGCTTTGACGAAATTGGTTGCAACGTTTACGAAATGGGCTGGAACGTTTACGAAAATTGCTGAAACGTTGACGAAATTGCTTGCAACGTTTACGAAATGGAATGCAAAGTTTACGAATTGGGGTGGAAAACCCTGTATTCACTCGCAGTATCGTTCTCTCATCAACTTCCATTTTACTGGCTTCTCGTTAGCTTTCTAGGCAGAGAAAACTGAAAACTGAAACATACTGAAAATGACATTGGTTGAATTACGACGCGCTTTTATGGTTTCTATATCTTGAGTTTGCGCATCGTTTGAAGTGCTTTTCCATTGGAGCAGGCGCGCTCCAATACTTCTTTGAATCAATAAAAATGTTGACTATGCGCTGAGATATGATGCTTGAAGGCATAGGCCAAGAGCCGGATTACTTGCTGTACAACCTAGTATCTTGAAAACAATCAAAGAGAGTTGAGCAGTAATGTGAACACATATATACTCCGTCTAACATTAGCTCATTAGCTTCGTATCAGATTTCATAAGAAAAATTTAGCAGCTTTCAGCTCTTTCTCCATTACGACTTTTCTAGGAGGTAGATCGATTCCTTCCTAGAGCTTTGAAAATTACATGTGCTCCACTTGTTCCAATGACAGATACATAATGGTAGTGTGCAACTTATGTTAGAAGCACGGTCTGAGGTAACCATTACAGGGCCCGTACTAGACTAGGTACAACGAAACCGTGTATGCTACATGCTTTTATCTGAAAAAGACACAGGCACCCCCTGGGGATGCAAGGAATACTAACTGGTTGCCACTTTTCACAGTAGCTTCGGAAGGACTGCTTCTTGGGGTGATCCCTCCCAAAAAATTCTTGCACTCTCTCCCAACATGTATGTGTTTTGTTTGTTTCAAAGTTTCAAGCACAAAAATTTGCTTTCCGAATAGCAACAAACTCGCAAAACCATACTCCATGGATGATTGAAGAATCTCACCTATTAGGTGGTCTATCAGACGGCGGATCAGAAGAAGTGGGTGACAACTTTCGTTTTAAAGAACAGAAACGAAACACTGTAGTAACTATGCAAAAACCACGCTCCATAGACAATCGAAGGTAAGTGGCGCGGAGCCAAAAGCGGGGCACGGAAGGAAGTCGAGGCGGTTAAGTATCAGGCGACAATGAAAGAAGGGGTTAAAACGTGCGATTTTGAAGAGCAGAGACAAACTGGTCGATAGAATGGGATGCACTCGAGTGTGAGATGTTATTGCAATAAGTTATATCAAATAAAGAGTTTCTCATCACAGCACTCCGTGAACCAATTGGAGAAGTCTCCGTTGCCAGAATTTGTTCCTGATGTCCAGTGGGACTTTGAAAGAGTAGCACTCCTTCCGTTTTTTGAATTGATCACCAAAACAATGCAACTTTTTTACTGTTTTCGTTCTTATTGCAGACATTGGTCTCACGCTGATCTATAGGTTATATAGAGATAAATGCTATCAACGACTGACCTTTCCGTAGGCAAGACAACACCAAGATCAGTAACACAACGTCGTTAGAAAACTGGGGTATATGACTCACCTGTGTATTTCAGAAATCGTCGAAGGCAAGGTCGTCCAGCGATCATTCTCAATGAGAGGTATCGAGGCGATAACAGAAGCAGCGTCGTATTCACACACATACTCAACTGATCCACGGCTCAGTCTTCTAGTTCCTGGTGTTGCAGAAGCTCACGTTCTTTTTCAAAGGCAAAAGTCGGGCATGATTTAAGGTTCTATGGTGCCCGAAACTGACGAGGGAGGACTTTCAAGTGGACCAGCGCTTTCTTAGAACGGTTATTCGCATGATATAGAGACACCAAAGGCAAGATTCAAGCTTAAACTGATGAGGTAATTCTACTCGAATGTGATGTAGGGGCGAGAGGGTGACCGCCAGTGGAGGTAAAAAGAGGGGAAATTCGAAAAACACAGGGAATATGAGCCTTCTGCTCCACGTTGCGGAGAAGTTAAGAAGGCCGGCAGGGAGATGAGAGATATTGTGAGCGCGGAGAGGGGTAGAGAACTCCGAGAAGAGAGAGCATAGCAGATCAGCATTGCTACGCAGACAAAATATCGAGTGGGGCGGAGCTTGTCGCAACAGGAGGAGTGTGTCAAAGTCCTTGCTCTGTAGTGCCTTAGTGACGCATTTGGATGCGGGAACTTGGCTAGTCGCCTGCAGCTGCGTCCCATGCACTTCTAGCCACTTCTAGTCACTTCATGGCGTGTACTTCTTGCGTCATGAAGGGTTCTTGAAGGCAAGCTGTGTATCGAAAACAACGTGAAGTTTGGCCTAAATTGAAAAGTTGTCGTAGTGATGTCAAGCTATGTAATAAAGAGCTTGTAGAAAAGTTTCTTTGGTGCACTTGGGTACTCCCATCTCGGCAACATCGGTGGTGTAGCGGTTGGAAATGCGTTCCCTACTTAGCACGCTTAGTCGGTAGTAGTTGATTCGGATCCCAGAGGCGGCGAAATTTGCGCATTTCCTGACTGTTTTTCTGAACCTGCCACAGCTCCTGCGGTTTTTTCCTTCATAATTCCTTTCATAGAAGAGTTTGGCAGATATGGAATACATATTTGAGCTCAGCGTCCCAAGGCGCGCATATACATTTACATCTCATTGGCCGGGTTGACCTGTTAAGGTGCGTTGGTTTGATTCATGAACTGCTGGTAGCCAGCAATACCTGGATAACTCGTCCAGACAATCCTCCCTGCTATGCCCGCCTACTTCGCCGCTGTGGAAGGGGAGGTTCAATATTATGTGGGTCTTCTTGACGGTCTCTTTTCGTTATTTCTTTACTGTCGTTCTAGGTCGCACCTCTACACTCACAAGGAGAGGTCTTTCTAGTAGGCTCGTGCTTTCTCAAAACTGTTTTTCGCCTGATGTAGAGGGATGTGCGTGGAGTGCAGAACTGGTCCGCTTCCGCTGAGGGGGCCCTCAGAATGCCAGAAAAGGAGTGGGAAAGTGGTTCTTGGTTTGATACCCGGCGGTGACAAAATTTTTGCATTTGGCGCTAAAAATTTGGCACCCAACGACGTAAGCACCAGAAATTAATGTGATATTCATAATTAGGCTTCCCAAAAACATTATAAGTGGGCGTGTACCAATAGCCAGTGAGAGAAAGTTGTGAGAAAAACGGCACCAACGTGCCGCCGTACAGCGTCATAGGTGTCCTAGACGATACCGGAGCCAAAACGAGTGTCATATTCGTGATCAGGACACCTTGTAGACGAAGTTTCCAAGAAAATCAAGAATTTGACCCAACTTCGAAATATTGCTCCGTGAGCACTTGTACATAATCTGTTTAACACGTCAAGCTCGACGGCGAACTTCTTGGAAATAACCTCTTCTGAATCCTCGTCAAAAAATGTGAAGTATGTAGTGTAATACGAGTACACCAACGCAGCTTCTGGTTTCGCCTCGATACCACTCATTGGGAATGATCGCTGGCATGTCCTGAACCAGCCTTCCAACCCATGTTTATTCAAACTCTTCCCAAGCAGAAAATTTCAGCAAATTGTTACGTCGCCTGGGGAACTACTTTATCTTTGATGGCGCAGAAACAGTGAATCACAATCCCACTACGTTCTCAATAAAGATGTGGTCTAAGGGATACGCCGGCCAATCCAGCACCCGAAACCCTCGCGTATGCCTCCCAAATGGAATGCGTGGGGACCCCCTTTGGGCTTGCTGCAAAACAAGTGGTGATCCTAGCTTTTCGAAAATGGTACAAGTCGAGATCCGAGCACCTGTTTATAACACTGATTGTCTACCTGACAGGCTAGAGAGCCAATCTCCAATTTCCGCTTCTTTTGAAACCACTCCAAATAGCTGACGATCTTCTCCGAATGTCTCTTCGGGTACGGCTGCAGGTCACGGCGAAGGTCCTTCCATTTGCAACGAAATCCACCCAATTAGCCAAAGTCAAGCTTTTCCTCACCAGTCGAGGCTGTCTAGTGGGAAATTTCCCACAGAGCGTCTCTTATTCTTATCTTATTCTTTTCACAAAAGCGCTGTCTTTCCGGGTTCAGCGTCTCATGTTGGGATCTTATTTTTGAACGGGGATTCCAACCTTGCCGATCTGTGCTGCGCAGCCACACACGAAGCTTCCTCCATCTCCTCTCGTGTGCTCATTCGATTGAATAGAACACCGAGCGGTATCCTACTATATATAATTCGCAAAGTACATATGTGTGTAGGTCTGTGTATGTGTCTGTCACGAAATTCATAGCGCCCTTCGGTGCAACAGTGGAGCGCTGTATTTTGAGTATGTTGTAAGGGATGGGACGGAAACATCTTTGGTAGGGGACACATGTGATAACGTCTGATAAGCTTTGATAAGAGACGCCAAAACGCCAATTCCACGATATCCATAGCGCGCGTCCCTGCGCCAGTGTGGCGCTGGCTGTAATAACGACTGTTAAGGGCCTACAATGACGATATGCGCAATACTATAGAGGTAACACAAAATCATACTCTAGATGAAGCATTTCATTTTACTATCCTTCCATTTGCGTTGTTATCATCAGCCAAAGTACCATTAGACCGCTACGCTCCCCAGTGTTCCTGAAAGTGTATGGTGACTGTTCGGAGAAATACAGTATCGTGTGCTGGATGTTTTTATTTTAACATCACACACAATCCGACCGCTAAATTTTACTGACATTCGATGCATGTGATTGTTTACGGACACCACTTTAGCTCCGCGCTCCACTGCGTGTACCAAACGGTGAGCTTCTACAAAGATGAGCAGACTACGAAGCGGTCAGCTAACGCATTTTTTAGAGCATCTCAATGTTTAGCGGTGAATCTAACGCTTTATCGGCTGTCCTGTTTTATCCGAGCGTTCCGTTTCATGCGCGCGGTAGCGTGCCGCGCTAAACTGGTTTTTAATATGAGGGAAGTCATTTAAGCACGACTGGGTAGACGTGCGATTTCGCAATGGGAAGGTTCAGCAAGATGAGGATCCCACATCTCTGCTCCGTCCTCTTTAAAAAAATGCCTGTTGTAAAGAAGAATAATGCTGAATAAGAAATGAAAGAAAAAGTAAACATAGGTTCGAAAATTAGAGCAGAAATCGATCTGCCTCAGAGTGTCCACATACGTTTGGTACAAAGAAAAAAATTTCAATCAAAAATAGTTTGTTAAACTAGAACGAAATCTTTTGCCCAAAATTGTCACTTTAGGTTATCGACCACTTAATTGAATGATGAAGGATTTATGGGCGAAAACGTCCTAAGCTGACTCCTGGAAATAGATTTTAAGGTGTCCACATACTTTTGGTACGCACTGTATTCGTTCCCACCAAATATGTTTTCGTCCCCCCCCCATATCATATCCTAAAATACTCCAAGCGACTGTTGTATGCGCGCAATGAATTCGTGACAAACACACAACACACCACGGACCTACACACACAACGCAAAGGCTTACTTAGCGAATTACATATAGTAGGATCAAGGAGCAGTAATGCATGCAGCCCTTGATGCATTTACATCAAATCGTGCTTGTCTCTTAGAGGCAAAGTTCGGGCTCAGACCCAGACCCAGAGAGCTAATCAGCCCTTCACGTGGATAGGAGTGCACGGACGCAACTACAGCGACTCGCCAAGTTCCCGCATCAAATGCGTCATTGAGGCGCTAGGGCCGAGACACTTTGAACGCTCCACCTGTTGCGACACGCTCCGCACACCGCTCGATATCTTGTCTGCGTCGCTGACTTGATCTGTCATGCGCTCTCTACGCGTACTTTTCTAGCGCCCTCCAGGCGTACATTGTCTCACATCTCCCTGTCCGCCTTTTGAACTTCTCCACAGCTAGAGCAAAAGGTTCGTTTTCCCTGTGCATTTCACGATTTTTTTTTCTTTTTTTCTCCACTGGCGGTCTACTTCCCACCCCTACCTTCACATTTGAGTGGAACTACCTCATAAACTAAACATGAGTTTTGCCTTTGAAGAGGTCGCGCTGACCTCATTCATCAGAAAGTGACTCCAAGATGAAGAATAGATAGCAGCGAAATTACATCATTGGCCAAGGAGGATCTTCAACCCAACCTTCAACCTGCAACGGTTCATTATGGTACAGTTCCACGCTTGGTCAAACTAGTTCTCCCGTCGAAAAGCTATTGGATCACGGCTCTTGCAAACAGTTATCGTTTGCGCACTGGTTCTTTATCTGGTACACATACGCAGAAGTTTAACTGTTGCAGAGCGTAAACGTGAGTTCGAGTTGAGGGAAGAATGCAAGGCTCGCAACAATCAGTGAAAGGGGCGCGTTTGGGTAGTGTGGCGAGTTAAGACGTGTTGACGAGCTTCTAAATACGCGGAACTCGGGAAACGTCTGAACGGTCACGGTTCACTCCTTGGTATCCGATGCTTTCTGATGAATTCAAGAAGCACATGCAATAAAATACACCATTTGCAACTCTTTCTAGACATACACAATCCAGACCTAGTTTTCTTACTGAGACATGGTTATCATCTGAAATATCAAGTTCTGAAATTCTCGGTGCACGCCCCTATACAATCTATCGTCTCGATCGTAAAGGCCGTAAAGGCGGGGGTGTTTGCTGCATAGCCAAAATTTCAATCGT